TTTACCTTCTTCTTTCATTTCAGAAGATAGAGAAAATATCAGTTGCAGCTATTTGTATTTAATTGATTTTAGACAAAATGCTAAAAACATGTTACAACTCGCTTTCACCAAAATCTCTCACCTACCTAATCTGTTTGTCTTGTCATTATTTTGTGAATAATGAGTAAAACTCATTATTGATGACCAAAATATGGTTTTCTTTAATTTTGTTTGTCACGCATAAAAAATGAATCGCAAAATCTAACGGTTTGCATGACTTTTTGCTTATTACTATTATTTCATTTCACAATATTTTTGAAAGATGACTAAAGTTAAGCTCATGTATTTTTAAATTTTACTTTTAAACTGAAAGAATTCACAACCACACCAATTCGATATTATGGTGCAGTAAGTGTATACCAACTATATTAATACAACTACTACACTGCTAGAAGATAAAAAAGAGGGCAGCTATATCAATCCATTGGCGGGTTTACTCTCCTACGACGGTAGAAGATAATTTCATATCATATTAATTTCATATCATATTCTGTTATTTTTCCCTTATATATGTACAGTACTCGCATAGCATTTGTTTTAGGGTTGAAACAATTCACCCATGAGTGATAACTATATACAATAATAAAGGATCCGAAAGTTTAATTGATAAATTCTTTATGCTATTTCTTCTATGAAAAATTATACGGTAAAGTGCAAAAAAATCTATATTGGAATTTGTAAATAATTTCTGAATTATATTTTGTGCATAATACCCTGAATTATCACATTTTGTTCCTATTGAAATATATTCTTATTTGAAATAAATTATGAAAAAAATTCATACTAATTTGGTAACATATTCTTTATTAAATTTACATCAATTTATTGTTTAAATAAAAATCTTTAAGTAAAAAATTTTAAAACAAGTTAATCAATTTCTTAATTTTCATTATTATAATTTAAGTAGTTTATTAATTTTTCATCAATATATTATTTGAAAAAGAATGTATTTTTCTATGATATAAAAGTTTAAACGGGTATAATAAATTTTATTATAAATAATAAAATTTTAATTATAAGTTAATCATTTTAAAAAATAATAATTACAAATCTATTTAATTTTTTTATTTTTATGATAAATTGATATTGATCATAAAATTAAGGTAAATAGTATGATTAATATTTAGATAAGAGAAAAAATAATTAAAATAATTTACTTAGAAATGACAAATTTAATGACAAAGGATAAAATAGTATTTTCGCATAAGTTTGGTGGGGTTTAATTAGTTCCACGGGGTTTAATGCACTTTACGGAAAATTATATGATCAAATATCAGTGACTTGATAAAGCTGTCAGTCCAGCCCAAAACACACTGAGAAGTGGGCGTGAATATGATAAACATCAGTGAGTTGATAAAGTTCTCATTCCAGCGCATTGAGATTTGATTCAGTCAATGAAAATAATAACAACAATAATAATAATAATAAGAGAGAGAGAGAGTGAGCGTGTGTGTGTGTGAAGAGCTCGAATCAAAGCATTTTAGACAAGGCAAGCAGGCATAAAAGAATGCAAGAAAGGGGAAAAGAAATAACAATAGTAAATAATGTACCTAAAAAACAATACAACTACACGAATAAATAAATAAATAATTGATAATAATAACACATACAAAAATAACAAGTTCCTCCTTTCACCCAGTAATAACAAAACCTACTTCCCTCCCTCATGAAACAACCACCTCTTCAAGTTTTTTATATGTTTGTACGTGGCCATTTCTCTCAAGAAATGAATTTATACTTTGTATGTGGTCATTTCTCTTGTTCAACCCTTTTTTCAATGTACTGGAAATGTAAAAACCCAAAGAAGAATTTAGTACATCTGAATCAACAATCTCTGCAAGGTTCTACGGGGGTCTGTAAATTTCTTGGCTGTAATGTTGGCATAAGTTCAAAAGTAAACCAAAAAATGATTCATAAGCAAAACTAAACACAATCCATACAATCAATTGCCAATCCTATGCAGATAGATCAACTAAATCTTCACTTCTTATCACTTGATCCTAAACTGCCCTAAATCAACTCGCATCCACTTGTAATTTAATTTTTAATTCCTTAAAAGAAAAACTTTTAGCTGTTCCCACCTACAGTTATCCAGTCAATAGGGAGACTGTAGCTTTGAATCTATTAAATTGCCCCTTAGATATAGGTTTCACTTTCATCATACCTATTCCAATACTAAATAACCCATACTACGGTTTTTAGTTACCTGCTATTGTAGTAATTATTATCCATCTACAATCGTAAATCCCGTTAAAATTTAAGGATACTTCCTTTATGGATTCTTAAAAAAAAAAGTGGAGAATTTTTCTCCTAGAATATATGGTGCCTAAGATCAACCAACAAAAATCTCAAAAGGAGAATCCTGGACTTGTAAAGGTGGGTTCAGCTCCAAAAATCACCAATAGGTGATTGCCTAGAGTCCACCAACAAAATACTATCAAAACTTAATATGAGAATACATTAAACTTGGAACTTCAGCGTGGTAGAGAACTAATAAAGGAAAAAAAAAAAAAAAAAGAGCACCAGATTCTTCATTGGCAATTCCAACCCTAGAATATCGGCAACATATACAGAAAAAAGGGAGCAAGTATAGTGCATGAGGCTCCCACCATTCCATTGTCTCTAAGGAGGGTAAGATGTATGCATCCTTACCTCCGCATGTGGAGATGTTGTTTCTGTTTCGAACCCGTGACAGCCAGGTCACGAAAAACTGCCAAGGCTCACCCTCCTAAATATTGTCGAGGTACGTCATACACCTATATGTTGTAAGCAAGGCTAACACTCTTGAATACAGGAAAGGGTACATCATACACCTATATGTTGTAAGATTCATGAGGACAGAAACATCTATGATATACATCCGCCACTTGAAATGCATTTTCAAAGTAATTGTTTGAACACCAATAGCATACCCTTAAACCTTCATAAGAAACTCAGCTCACTTGTCCAATAGACAGAAAATAAGGAATGCTGATCAGGCTATTTAACAAATTGTTTTGAAAAGAATAAAATAGACTTTCTATCCCTCGCCTTCTAATTTCTTTCACATATTCTTGCAGAAGAAAACCAAAATTTCAAGACAACAAAAGGTTCAGATCATGTAAGACAGCAATAATACTAAGCAAATACTTTTCTAGAATACCATTGACACGGTCTGAACAAAAGATAAGCATATTTTCCCATCCATCAAACCATGTAGAGCACTCTATAGCATTTACTAATAATAAACAGAAACTCATATGGTGGCTATGAAAGTGATAGAAAAGGGAAGTGAAAGGTCATCATGCTTGTTTCTTCTAGAACTCATATGACAGTTGGCAGCCCAAATGAAGTTTTACCATATAAAGTGAATCAGTTAGGTTAATGGGAACTAATACTCAAGTCAAATAATATCTAAACATATGAATAGAATCTATTTGGATTATGGATAACTATTAATGTATGTGTAGGGTTTGTACCATTGATTCATGCCCCTACAACCTCTTCATCTCTAAGAACTAGTTTAAACTCTCTCAACAATGACTGCTTAGACTTCTATTCTAGAATGCAAAGTTCTCAACACTGATTTTTAAAAGCTAATCTAGCTATATCTATTTTAATCAGTATAAGTCTAGTTTTATCTATATGCATCCATACATATGCGTTTGAGTTGGAACTTGGAAGAAGAGGGGAATCTTAGAGATGAGCTATTTGTATTTCAAGTGACCCATTCTAAGCCTCTGTTAATTTTGTGTTCTGGTTAAATAATGAGTCTCAACCATACATGAGTGAGGCCCCAAGTAGACCCATTAAAGAGGTCCTAGGTGGGTGAGCCCACATAATAAGCCCTCACTGCAAGGCACTTGTTTATTATCTTTATCTTTTCTCACAAATTCTCCATTTTAGTTTTTATTTTTTATTTTGATAAGTAAAATCTCCATTTTATTTTGATTTATATTTGAATTGCATAACTAATTTTCCAAGTTGAGGACAGCCAAACTCAGGTTTTCCCCTTCGGAACTACTCTTCGTTAATCACTGATTCTACTGACTTCGGAATCACTTGTCGTCGATTCACCTCTAACGCTCAGTGTTCAATTCTAGTGCCTTCAGAATCACCAAAAACACCAATTCACGCCAACGCATCAGTAACTGAGAAAATCATGTATATTGTGAAGCTTTTAGGCTTATCAACCCCAATAAGATAAGATAAAATAAAAAACAGTAAAACAAATCAAAACTAGAATTGTGTCTCGCAAACACACATGACAAGTTACGACTTCACTATGCCAACACAGACTGCTTCTTAAAGAGAAGGTGATACACAAACACCGACCCAAGTCATTCAGCAAAGCAAACTATGATGGATCCTCCGATTAATACACACATAAATACACATAACTAATCAGTATAACTAATTTGCACGTATCATTGCATCAAAACTTTTGCTCTCCAAAAGCCAGACATCCATGACCCAACTAGAAACCATGTGAACTCTCCCCCCTATAGTGAAGTCCCCCAAGGAACTCACAACAAGCGCTGCCATAAAGACAAGGATTTGGAACTAAAATTGTCATCCAAAGATCCATTTAAGGCCTAAAACAGGATTACTGACTTAAAGATAACATAAGAGTGCTGGGAACTAAGTGCATATTTTACCTATCGTATTCTCTTTTTCAATCCCTAATGCTTCAACTGCAATTTCGAAGAGTACAACTAATCAAAATAAATAAATAAACAACGTAACAAGGCATTACAAGTTTTGGCTTCCATTAACAAATTATCAACTTTGCACATTATGCACTATGCTTTTCAACAAAAACAACACTCGACAACAAGAAAAAACCAGAAGTAATGGGGAATCATATTCACGCATATCTGCAACAAATCCCATGATACAGAAAGAAACAAAGACATAATGCATGCATTCAAATGCCCAAACACCAAACATTAAACATTTTAAAAGCAAAGGGGACAACCAAATACCGAATATTACTTCCATTTACTGATAAATCCCTAATATTAACATCTAAATATGCATGGACCTTGAGCACAAACATCAAAATAAATATAAAACATCAATACTGAATATTGCTTCCATTCTATAAGAAATCCATGAAGCAAACATCATATGCTATTTCTAAGTGACCCGGTAAACCTATAAAAAAGAGTACCAATTTCCACGAGAATTATGTCTATCAAGAAGCCTGTGAGAGTACCCTATATAAAATTGCAAGGAATACAAGTGCATGCTAAAACCATGAAGAGTTGTACCAATTCAGTTCAAAATATCACTAAGAGAGAGAACAGCATATAAATCAAGAAACAAGCATACGCAATCAATCCGCGGTGCTCGTCTCCACAGGAAGCCAACTCCACCAGCAGCCTGGTGCAAACCCACGTCGACCATATCACGAAAACCCCTGCCATGGCGAAAATTGCCACCCCACCTTGAGGAAGAAACAGTGAGACAGCTGATAAAATCACAATAGGCAACAGACAGTATCCAATCAAGCTCAAACACCGATACAAGTCCAAATTCCCGTTTCGTCCTGCCAACATATTGAACACAACATACAAAAACAAAGACGCCACGGTCACCCACCCCAATATGATCCCAAAATGTAGCTTCCCAGCGAGTAATTGAAACAATCCAAACGCCATCAAGAACAGAAATGGGCCTGACAAGTCTGCGTCTTCGTGAAGATCGACCTTTACTCTAAAAGGGTTCATAATCGAGACTGTCTTGTTCCAAATTTGCTTAGTATTTATTCCAAGCTCTTCGAGTAGGGGCGGCTCGTCCTCAAATGCGCCGCCGATTCCAACACTGCTGCCACTGCTGCCGGCGAATTGAGGATTGGAAAATGAGGTTGAGGCTGCGGCAGAACTCATATCGAATGACATGAAAGGGATGCTAGGGTTTGCGGACCGCGGTGGCTGAAACGGCGCCGTTGGAAGCCGCCGCTGTTGCGCTCCGGTACCGGGGTTCCCGCCGGAAGGGAAAACCACCGGCGGGACACTGAATTGTTTCGCCATGACCGAATATTAGGGTTTTTGGTGATCCGAATCTATGAGAATTATATAAATTGTGCCGAAAATTGGGGATTTTAGGCCAACAATGTAATGAAACAGAGTGAGATTTGAATTTGAGAGATCTGGTAGATATGTAAAGTGAAAAGGCAAGTAGGAAAAAGAAAAAAAAGAGAGTAGGGGTTTGAGATTTTGAATCTAGGGTTGAGATGGATAGTTTAGAAATCGAAAGAGGACTGAAGAGATCTACCTAAATCAACATACATGATATATCATGTACTAGATGACAGAGATCGAAAATCATCTAGCGGTTTCGTGATTTGTGCATGGAGGAGTTGTACTTGTACGGACTGGTGGCTTTCATCGAACCGGCGTAATTTTGCTGTATTTGTCACCATGAAAATCGTAGTTGTAGCCCTTGTAGGTAATCCATGTCTTAAAGATTAAGATTTCTTATCCTTTTGTTTTTTTAAAAAAAATTAATTTAATTTAAATATTTATATACGATTTCTTCTTTTTTCTATTATTAAAATTAAATATTTAAATGTGTTTTATATACATAGTTTTTAAAAGTTAGTCCACGACTTCGGTTCTATTTGTTTGTTTTAATGTAGAATATATTTTTTTATTTTTGGCACGTAAATACTTTTTACGGAAAAAAAATATATTAAAATTTAATAATAATAATTTATTTATTAATTTTTAATAAGTTATTTTACGTTTTTTACCCAATAAACTCAATCTCAATTTCAATTTAAACCTTTGCCACACATAAAAATATTTATATATTACTTAAAAATATATATATTTTTTTTTTACTAAAAAAATATTGTACATATAAACAAATTAAGCCTTCATGCCAAGAAATTTGTTGAAAAAAAAAAAAAATTGTGCCAGGTGGAAGAGCCATTGAATATTTTTAATTGTTCAATTATTGAGACTCTTAGGTGCGACTAATTTGAATTAGGTAATATTATGCAAGTGACTTCTGGAATAGATTTAAAGGTGGCGTCGTCTGGTTAAGTCACCATCTATGCATACTTGTAAAGCACGAAGCTAGCTTTTTCTTCTCTTTTATCTTGTGCATACCATTCCAAGTGTGCGTTTTCCTCTATTTTTTTTTTTTTTTTTTGAGGTGCAGGTCGTCCATCCCTTTGCTTCGAATAGGGATGGCAATGAGAGCGAGTTTGGACAATTGTACCCTCCCCCATTTCTACAATTGTTTAAAAATTTCGTTCTCGTTTTCGTCCAAAACCGCAAAAATAGGAGTATTTTTCACCCCATTCCCGTAACCGTTTAATATTTTTACCCCCGTGGATATCCGCCCCGCCTCATTTAAGAGCATAATTTATTTATAGTTTAAATAGATTTGCTCTCTTTTTTTTCCCCTCAACTTCAATTCTTCACCATTACAAATTTCTTTTTAATCAAATTTATTTTTTACTTTAATATTGTTATATAAGGTACTTAATATATGGTGAAAAATAGATATACTAATGAAATATAGGTACTTAAGTAATTTGCCTATCTAAACGGGGCGGGGCGGGGCGACCTCTATGATACCTCTCGGATCCGAGACGCGGGTTGATCAGATCCGAGCCCAAACCCGAGGGATATCAAAGAATTACAGTATTTAAATCGAACACGGAATACAAAGTGAAATACGAAATAATATAATAAATTAAAAGAAACTAAAAGAAAATCCTTGTAACATAATTAATCAAATCCGATAATCCAAAACTCCATAAGTTTACAACTCGGGAATCCATCCATTTGACCCCTTATTAAAAATTCTCAAACCAAAACTGAAGTAATAGAAATAAAATCCAAAACTAACATAGAGAAGATTCATACATATTCGGAGGAATGAATATCTGTATCTGCTCTGCATGTCCAAGCTCTAACCCTGGAACTGACGACTACCTGAAAAAATAAAGGAGTGGGTCAGGCCCACATGCAAGTCTTGATCTACTACGATCCAAACAGTAATCCGATACGCAGATACATCCTAAGAAGACTCAACAATATCTAGAGTAGTCCATATATGTATATAGTACACACTATAGGACGTTCGCTAGTCCAGTAGGTTTGTCTCAGCCTGAATAGAAGGCAACATGCAAATACACACCCTAAGGTAGGCATGAGTACCTAGACCTACTAGGAAACAACACCTACGTCCAGTTATCCATCCTAGGCAATATACGCGCCCTAGCCATGGTCCTGAGACTCAAGCTCATACCATGGCACATATAACAAATATATAAAGTCCGTACTCCTTCTAATGCAGAATATCATCCATCTGTGTAATGGTCTGATATATGTTTAATGAATCCATCCTGAAACCATAGTAGGTCATTCAATTCACAATTGATATGACACATGTAGGTGATGGACTTAACCTTTATGATTAATCCATACCTTAATCCAAGTTAGGTAGAACTTAGTGTTTGAACTAGTCCATACCTAGTATGTCACCATCCCATACCGATACATACAATCCTCTAGTGAACACAGTTGACAAAACAATATCAAATAGTCATCAACCACACTCCAGAATATGCACAAGATAAATTTAATGCATGTACATAAATATTGGGCATTCATTATAGAGCCCAAAATCCAAATCCAATAATGTAAACTGCTACAATAAATTTAAGCAATCACATTCACCAACATAGTCCAGGAGTTGATACCGTTAATAGGATTTTAAGCATCAGTTACATCCAAGCTAAGCATAGGAAATTTTAGTTAATTCGCTATACTTATAATACTATAGAAATATGATTTATATTTATAGTTAAACCATATATAACAATCTTGCTAAGCTCCAGTATATAAATTTAGCAGATCCTCCGACATTGCCCATGAATTAATACAATTTCATACAATTGAAATACCAATTAAGTCCATACCACGTATACTTGATTTTAATTAACTTCACCTTACCTATAACATTAGAAAAAAATATGGTTATATATAATTAGATCATATTTAAAAGCCTTGATAAGTTCCAGTATATAAACCTAGCAAAACAGTTACAATAGTACAATTTTTCTCAAACTGTATGCTACTTCATTTTCCTAATACCATAATGTACCAATGTTTTCTAATAGTTTCATAAGTTCCTAGCAGTTAATTACATCAAAGAAAAACAATTAAACAATTTAAGAAAAGTCTGTACAGCCCAAACAGTCCCCAAACAATGAAAAAAACTCGTTTCTGTGCGTTTTAAGAAGGAACAGGCTCCCAAAATTGGGAGCCTGCTCTATTTTTTATCTAGAGCCGGCTCTAGGCTCTTAGAGCCGGCTCCAAGAATACCAAGAGCCGGCTCCACCTCTTTGGGAGCCGGCTCTAAGGAATTGGGAGCCTGCTCTCCCTATCCTTAGCAGCCGTTGTCCGTTCTAGCTTCATCTTCTCCAATTTCGATGATTACAGAACCTCTGTAATGTGTTCTAATTCTTGTTCTAGGCTTCAACTCAGTCCTAGGTTCATCTTAAATCTCTTAGATCCAATCCCAACATGTATAGGATCTACTTTTTAAAGCCACGAACACAGAACCTCTGTTAGAAATTTTTAAGCAAGTTTTTACAGATTTAATTCCAATTAATATTGTGCAATTAAATACTGTTCTATGGACTTGTTTCAAAGTTCAAAATCAGTCCCAGATTACTTACGAGGCATCCAATTATAATACTAAGCTCAACTAGAACAATGCTTAATTGTAAAACACAGAAGAAACAAAGAACAGAATCTCAAAGGTAATACAAAGCAATTATATCAACGAGCCTAACAAAATTCATACATGCATAACAAACTTGTTTTAATGTTTATTTAAATCCATTATATCCTTGATTTAATCCCTGGAGTCTAAACTAGGCATGCACAGAACATGAATTAAAGGGAAAGAGAAGAACAGAGACTTGCCTGCAATTTCAGATTTTAAAACTGTAAACCACCGTCTCTGAGTTCTCCGTCAACGTTGTCGACTACAGTTCTACACCTCCGGCACTCTTGGTTCACTCCAGAAGCAACCCCGTTCCCTTCTCTTTGAACCTCTCTATTAAACCCTCAAAGATCTCTCACTCTGTTGCTCTCTGTTTCTAGGTACGTGAACAAAGGTTTATGTATTTGTTTTTCTAAAACTCTAAACCCACATAAGATATATATTTATAGAACCCTTTAACCTAATTCTAATACGTTTGCAACCAAGAAAACAAAACCCTAAAATCCACTCCCGAACTATGTCGGCGTGTAAAATAAATCCTAATAATACAACCACAAATAACATTAAAATGTAGACCCACATAGGCACGTAAATAATAAAAACTTAACAATACAATTCAGTGAATAAAACAAACCAAAAATACATTTAAATTTACCAATTAAAACAAAAGCAATTAATACAATAAAATGAGCAATTAAATAGATAAAAACAAATAAACATGAAATTAAAACAATTAACTTAATAAAAACGCAATTAAATACAATAACTAAATTCCAGAACTGTCCTTTTAAAATTAGGGGTATTACATTCTTCCCCCCTAACAAAAGGAATTCCGTCCTCGGAATTCGCTCTTACCTTCTTCCTATAATTCAGGAAACTGCGAGCGAATGCCATCCTCCTGTTCCCAAGTGGACTCAGCCTCATTGTGATGACTCCACTGCACACGAACTAAAAAGGATAACCTTGTTATGAAGGATTTAGTCCCGACGGTCAACAATACAACACAGTGACTCTAAATAGGTTGCATTCGGCTACAACTCAATCTCCCCAATATCAATATGGTGATACCGAACCTCATCTCGCAGAAATTTCCGCAACATGGAAACATGGAACACATTTGTGAACGCGATCCAAAGTATCTGGAAGTGCTAACCTATAAGCAACTGCTCCAACGCGATCCGTAAGCATGAATGGTCCGACAAACCGCAGTGCCAACTTCCCTTTCTTCCCAAAGCGCATAACACCTTTCATAGGCGACACTTTGAGTAGAACCTGATCTCCAACTCTAAACTCTAAAGCACGAGTACGCCGATCAGTATAACTCTACTGCCTACTCTGAGCAGTACGCATGTAATCCCTAATAAGAGCGATATTCTCAGTAATATCCTTAATAAACTCAGGACCCAAGAATCTGCTCTCTCCAACCTCCATCCATCAAACAAGCAATCAACACGGTCGACCGTACAATGCTTCCACAAAATCCATAGATATACTCTCCCATTTCCACTCCGGTATCGGTAGTGGTTGTAAAGCTCCTGGCGGCCTCTGGTGATCAATCTTAACCATCTAACAAGTACTACACTGAGAAACAAATAGAGCAATGTCCCTCTTCATACCTGCCCACCAAAACTGCCGCTTCATATCCTGATACATCATGTCTCCGCCTGGATGAACAGAGAACTCAGAGTGGTGAGTCTTAGTCAT